ATTTCATAAACGAAAGTTTTAGAAGTCTGGAAATTTTACAGTTTAATTTAAATAAAGAAGTAAATTTTATTTTATATTCCGACCCAAGTTGAATTTTTAAATTCAGGATTTTTAGTTTAAAATGGTAACACCATTTACGATTATTCATTAATAGTTCATTCAAGAAAGAAAATATGAGGTGCCGTTTATGTTTACGACAAAATAAATTCAACTTACAAAACAATCATCAAAATAATGCGACAAGGCTTCCTCCTGGATATATGCAACAATTATACAGAATATGAAGTCAACTTCAGCAAGTATTTAATTTTAAAAATTAGAAAAAATATAACTTTCGGCAATTGAAATGGTGTTGGAAATGTGCTATTTTTAAAACCATTGTTGTTTTTGCCCGAATTCTACGTTTATTGCAATTTTTTCCATTTCAATGTTTTTGAGGATATTCAACATTTTTTTTTTGTGACTTGCAATTCTATTATAGCAACAATGGATATAAACTGTATATACTTTTCATATTTTGTTTTGTGACCAGAATTTAGGGCACCAATGCAATTGTGATGCAATTGCTCAATTAAAATGTAGGTAAAGGAAAAAAAAATAATAAGAAAAATACAAATTGTTTTTTTTTTTTTCCTTTTTCCTTTAAAATAGTGCAATTTCGTTTAATTCAATTGAATTTTGTTTTTGTTGAGTGCAAGGAAAATTTTTTTCATTTTTTTTTAATTTCTAATTTTTTCATCGTCTCTAAATCATGGAAATCGTGAACTTGAATATAAAATTGATCTTATGGGTACATTGGAAAATTAAATAAAACGAATAATAAAAATAAAATTTCATTTAGTTCAATATTTGATTGTTGGTATTAATTAAAATGGTAGTTGTTTTTCTTATTTTGTACATTTTTGTTTTATTGTGGGATTGAAGATTCATCTGAGAATTTTATTTTGAACTTTGAAACTATTATATAAAACGATTTTATTATAACACTTATATTTTGTCAGAGTTGTATACAATTGGATTTTTTGTCTTTATATAGAAATGTTAACAAAATTAACTAACAACTTTCTTTCTAACAAATATAAATTTAATTTTATTTTTTTTTTAATTAATGTTTGTAGATTTTGAAAGATTTTTAAATTAAAAAAAAAAAAATAGAAATAAAACAGAATGAAAATTAAATGAAAATTCAATTAAAAGACAATTCAATTTATTGTGGATAAAAAGAGATGAGAAAATAACAATAAAATTTTTCAAAATTAAATTGAAATGCAGTTATTTGATGTGAATTTTTAGAATGATATTGCAATTAAATCCTTAAAAATGTAGACAATCAAAAGTCATAATTTGTAAAATAGTAAATTTCCGCTTAAGAAAAATGATGTCTAGAGTTTGTTCTTCCTCTTATATACAGCCTTATTTCTGAGACGCGTCATATTTATTTTATCACATTGCATTTATTTTTGGCATAATTCTGAACAGGAACAGAAGAATTGATCTGACACAAGAAGCGAGACTCGTTAGAAAATTTAAATAAACTGGTGACAGAAAAAAGTATAAATAAGAAATAGTTAGTTAGAGAGGGAATGACGTCTTCGAACTCTTTTGGTTTTTGGGTAAAAGCAGAGATAAAAGTGATGAAAAAAATTAAGAAAATGAATTTTATATTAACGATTGAATACTTTTACACTTTAATTAATAAAATTACTCACTACTGCTTATAAAATGTCTAATTATATTTACATTTTCTCTATTTTATTTAAATTTTCATTGATTTTCGGCATATTTTTTATCTCTGTCGACAACAAATTATACGCGACTGAGTGTGACTTAAAAATGTAACAGTTTACAAAAATTGTGTCTAGCAGAATAACATTATGGACGCTTTCTTTGACAAATATTCAGAGGCGCGTCTAATAGAATAGCGAATCATAACATTTTTATGAGTCGTCTACTAGAATAAGGCTGACAGTCTGTGATTTCAAAATCTTTGTAATATGGTTTTTGTACATAATTTAGCTAATAATTTACTTATAATTTCTGCGCAATAATTTCTGACAAATACAGTATGACTGGAATTTTAAAGTCATGGAACTTTAGATATAAAATTATTTTCTATTGAATATAATATTATTTATTATACCACATATTATGGTCTATTGAAATAATATTCTTTTATTACTATTACCATAAACTTGGCATAAATTTAGAAGAAAACTAATAGCGATTACATACTTACAAAAGATTTTGTATAAATTCTAAAATTGAATTGATATATTCCAACAATCATACGTTGTTGTGGTGTAAGCTATTCTAAAACAAATCTACGAAAATAAAGGATCAATTTACAAATTACTTTTGAAGTGGCAAAACAAGAACTTTAAACTTTTGATGGGTTATAATTTGAGTGGGAGTTTATTTTATAGAGAAAATAATGTTTTGTCTACAAAATTTCAATTTCCTATCCAAAATTTTCAAATTTTGTAGCTAGATGCGTAAAGTTAAAGCCACAGTTTATAGTTATTTCTAACTCAATTGATTATTTTCGTACAAATCCCCAAAGAATAAAGGTCTAACACGATAGTTAAATAATTTAACTTTCGCTGTGCTTTCAATTGATTCAATTCAGCATTATTTATATTATATTCTTTTCAGAATTTTTTAAATTATGCGTGTCAAATTGAAATACATCGTATACAATTTATCTTAGCTGACTTAATTGACCGTTCAATCTGACCATTATGTTAACGCTTCTTACTAAATTTCAATATATGAATGAAAGTAATTTAAATAAAGTAGTACATCGTTTTTAAAAGCAGTATTTTCACCTGATTAAAGGAAAAGTGCTACCTTACAAACGTTCATGTATTAATATGTTCCATTAAATAATTAAAATTTTAAAAATGTTAAACATTTTTATAATTGGCTTTGTTTTGCTTGTCATAAGTATAATTTTTGTACATTAAAAATCTAAAATCCTGAATATAAAATTAAATATTCTTGAACAATAAATTGACACTTGTCGAACAAATTTTTTTTACTGACTTCATTAATTTTTATTCTTATAATTATCAAAGGATCTATTGAATTTTAATTTTTTTCTGTTTTTTGCATTTAACTTAAAAAAAAATTATAAATTCAATGTAAATTTAAAAACTAGTGGTAGCATTTTGTAATTTTAAACAGATGCAAATTTTTCGCCTCCCTTTTTTTTGTGATTTTTTTTTTATGGTCATATTGTAATATTTTAAGAGTAGTGATGTAAGGAAGGAAACCAAAAAAAAAAAAAAAAACAGCAGAAAAGTATTGCCGCGCTTACTATAATTATTTCTTACCTTCAAGTAATAAAATTTGCAATTATTACAATCATTAAATTAATAACTTGGAATATTAAATTGTTATTTTCATCGTTCCGACACTTTAGATCTCTATATAGATTCAATTTCCATATAAAATAAAACATAATATTCGTAAGGTACAAAATATATTCGTTTGTATATATATATACAATACTCGTATATACATAGCACATGTATATATACACAATAATTATTAAATAGAAGTCATTGGAACAAAAACAACAAAGATACCATAATAAGGCAAAAAAAGAAAAAACGAAAGTTTTTTTTTTTTTAATTTTTATTAGGTTTTGTCCCTTTTTAAATGTAATCGCGAATGATGCGTTGCAAACGGACTCATATAAATCCTACACTACGTATATGTACTCATTTCAAATTTAAAAATGTGCATTCATCTTAAATATAGGCACAACAGTGCTATTGAAAATCTAAATGATATGTACAGAGTGCATAAGTGAAACAAAATTTTCCCATATTAAATTTTTTATGTTAAAAATTTTTAGTTTTCTTTGCAAAATTATTTCAAATGAATATCATTACTGATGAATTACTGATGATTAACTGATGATGAGCAGCTTAGGGGAATGCTAAATTTAAACTGTACTTTCATATGAAATTATTAAAAAAATTACGATCATATAAAAAATGTTATTTTAAATTCTTTCAAAAAAAGAAGAGCCAAAAAAAATGTTAACACATACTCGAGAGAGTATAGAAAAGTTCAAATCTACAATTCTATGTTAGAACTGCAATCGCAACCGGTTTATTTTATTGTACTGCACGTAACAGTCTGTTTAAATTTGAACTTCTGCCATACACAGCAAAAATATTCATTCCTACTTTAATGCAGCTTTTGTACATAACATAAAATAGTCTCAGTTTTGACAGTTTTAATATTATTGATGCAAATAATCGTTTCTATTAGTAATATTATTTTTTTTGTTCTATCGCAGTATAATTCTTAATATATTAGCTATGCGTTGGTAAGGTCTACAAATAAGAACTGAACCCTTTACAATATATATTCCCTTTTAAGTTTCTGTTCTATTTATGAGCTTGTTTGGCCAGCAATATTTAATGGTTTACTAGGAATTTGTATGAAATAACAATTAAACCTGCAAATAATTAATAGAGCGTGTATTATCTTAAAAACACCAATATGAAACACATACATATCATACGGGACACCTTATATACATAGAAGATTTTACAAGATCTGTATAGAAATTTGTATATATGTATATGATATGTATAATGTATATTTGTCAATATATTACCTTGAAATCATAAATGACAGCATAGCGCGCAAAAAACCAAAAAAAAAAAAAAGGAAAATAACAACAAAAACACACACAAAATGGCATACAACAACAACAATAATAGCAACAAAAAAAGTAATAATCATATAACAATATGTTATCTTTTTGTTATATTAAAAAAAAAAACGAGTCGTCCTTGAATGTTTAAGTCAATGGCAAGTTTTGTATAATACCAATGAATGACACATCCATTCAGTTTTTCATCAAAGGGGAACACAATTAAAAACTTATAATTCAAAATGAGAAGAAAAAAAAATTAAACAAAAAAAAAAATAATAAAAATTACACCATACTATGAGAAAGAGAGAGAGAGGAAGATGCGAAAATGGTTTATGAGCATAGAAGTTTAAGTTTACCTTTACCTTTAACAGGTAAAATCTGCTGGACCTTTTATGGAGGCTTACAAATAAAAAAAAAATTTTTCTTTTTTTTTGTTCGAATTTCTTAATATTTTTACTTTTTTTTTTGTTTTTTTTTGTTAACCAACTAATTTGATGGAGTGTGTTGTCTTTTAAAAAAATGACAACGCATATTGTGTATTTGTTGCTTAAATTTTCCTTTTTTTTTGTGTTTTTTTTTTTTTGTTTTGTGATGCAAGGAGGAAAAAGAGCACAAATTACAATAACAAAAGAAAAAAAAAGGTTGCAGCAATTTAGCAATAGCAACAAATAATAGTAAAGTGATAAAGTCTTCTTCTTCTTCATCTCTTCTCATTTATACCTCAACTCTTTATATCTATATAGAAGATCGTCAGAAGCTGTTGTTAATGATAAAATAAAAACAAGAAAAATAAAATCTTGAAAATGTAAAAATTGTACAGATAAAAAAAAAAAATTGGAAAAAAATTACAAATATTAAAAATGACGGCAAAAAAAAAAAAAATAAGAATAAAAATTACAAAATCTTCTTGTAAAACTCGTATATTATTATTATAAGTTCTAATGACATACAATGAACGACATTACAACATTTACACACATATACATATATATATACAATTATTTAATATGATATATTGATATTATGAGCAAGTAATCCTTGAATTCTGACATTAATATTGGTATACATTATGACATTTTTCTGATAAGATATTTTAAGGATAATTATTACAAAAAAAAAATCAAGGAGCTTCTCAATTACATTATTTAAATATTATTATATACGATATTATTTATGTGTTGTTAGTTTATCGAATTTAAAAATAAAATTATGTAGGATTAAGATAAAACAACAAGGAAAAACGATAGTATTACAAAGTATTAAAGTAAATAGCAAGAAAAATTATTGTAATTTTAACAAAAAATTTTTATAATTTCATTGTTCATATTAAAAGTATATTAATTTGTTATGTGTTCTGCTATCATATTTATTATAATTTATAGCGTTGCCAATCCATATAAAATTTTAGTCAATATCATTATAATCGCAAGTTCTTATTATGACACACGTCCTATTGTAAATGATCCTTTTACAATTAATTAAATTTTGCTCTTAATAAAATTGGATATTGCTGAGAATGAATGCAATTACAGCACAAAATGCAAAAGTATAATGTGAAGGATATGCAATATATTTCATATGACAATTCTATAAAAATAAAACATATGATTTAATTGCTGTATATAACTGCACAACTTATAGAAATTTCACTTTCTTAATAAAACAAATCGGATTAAGAATATGCAATATTGTTTACGAACATAAATGTAGTGAAATTTTAACTAGATACATCGCAGATATCTTGCATAATTGTGGAATGGCCTTATATTTTTAAATGCAATTTAAATTCTTAAGTCGTAATTCTTAATTTTTATCCATCGCTTTGCGTACAATAAGAGTTTGACGCCAAATTTCGCATATCGAGTTTTCACTGGGAATTAATGCACTTCTCCATAGTAGAGAAAAGTAAATAAACTATTTTTTGAGAGATGTCGATCTGTCGGTCGTTTTGTGTATCTCATGTTCGGTTTAGACCTTTTCGCGGGTCGTTTTTACATTCTTGAGCATATGAAGGCAAAGAGTCAACCACTTTCTTTGAAATTTAATATTTTATTTGGAGGTGATAACACAATGACTTGAATAAGATTAAGACTGTAATTATTATTATAATAGCTTTATGGTTTTTGATAAATTTTAATGTGTAGAAGAATTTTTACCTGTCGTTTTTACTTTACCTTAAAAATTTGCTTAAAAATTTGGTAAAAGAGAACTGGATCATGACTACTGTACTCAGATTACAGGTAAACTACATTTGTTTTTGTTATACATAATATTGCTAATACTCGTTCAAAACATTGCATTACCTAGTATAATTTAAAAGAGTTTTATTTGTTAAAAAATTTTTTTTAATTTTAAGTTTACTCAACTTAAAAATTGCCAGTTTCCCTTCTTAATTACTCATCTAATAAGAAATTATTATTTTAAATATTTAAATCAAAATTTTATATTTTATGATATTTAGCAATTCTACCATATAATTCAGCTTAAATTCCAATCATTTTAGGCTGAATTTTCAATTAAATACCAAACTTTAAAAAATTAATAAATATTGAACAACGTATTTTTAGACTATATTGGATGTTCTTGAATTGAAACACATACACACATCCATATGCATCAATTTATAATCCTAAATAATTATTTTCCATCTTAATATGCAGATTTTTCAATTGAATACTAAAAGTGTTAAAAAAGTCGTAGGTACTTCTTTAACTATTGTTTATATGCACTTATTTCCCAAGAAACTTTCCAAGATAATAAGTATTTCTATTTTAAATTAAAAGCCTTAAGAAAAAAATTCATAATAAATAAAGTAAAAAAACCAGAACTGAAATGATTTCATGGTACATGCGAGTATTCAATTGAAAATTCCGAAAACTGAATGTTACGATATCTTTGATTCTACTTTTCTATTGTTTTTATTTTTCTTGCATTTTTAACTTAAAAAACGCTTACTAAATATCTTATTCCTTATATACTTATGCATTTTCTCTAATCAAAAGCAATAAATGTTAACCACTCAATTATCTAATACAATCTAATTGTTATTCTTTAAACAAACTTTCTTTCCAATTATTATTGAATATTAGAAGAGTATCGGTTATTAAAATAAAAAAAAAAACAAAAACAATAAACTACAAAATGTTCAACAATATGAAAAAATTATATTACATTAGAACACTACACCACTTGCCAGTACCAGTTCTCTTCTTTTTTATATGAAAATATTGAAAGATTGAATGAGAATTGAAAAAGGGGAAAAAATAGTTGAATGCAAATTGAATGAACAGAAAAACTCTATTTACATAGCAAGAGAAGCAACCCGAATCTTATGTTATTATGGTATAAGCGAAACAATACGTACTAAAAAGTCTACGTACACGAAAGTTTACCTAAAAATGTCTTCAATGTTTTCTCACACTTTCAATATTTTCAACATTTTCAATTTCAATTTTTTTGTTCCATTGTATCACCTCTCATTTCTTATTTTCTCTTAAACTCATAGCAGTACTCATAGCAGTACCACAGCAACGTTTTTATTTAATTTTTTCATTTTTATTATTTTTTCATTGCAACTCTTGCAATTTTCTTGTTTTTAATAATGTTAAAGCATGGTAAATTAGATTTTAAAAGTTTTTACGTGTATTATTTCACAGCATGACTATAAAGATGACAATGCATATGTAGCTCGTGCACAAGTTTTTGATTTAAAAATAACACAAAAAGAAAATAATTTTTTTTTCTTATCCGTTTCTCTTTGGTCGCTCATTCGTTTTTGTTTTTATTTTCATTTTCTATTGTACAAATAAATTTTTTTCTGGTTTTTTAACAGTATATTGCTCACATCACAGTAAAACACTCCGAAATAGCAGAAAATGTGAGAAACAATAAAACGAATAAGTGCTGGCTGAATAAATTGATTTTACTTTTACAGTTTTTTTTATATTTTACTGGCATACGAGTAGCAATATTGTATTAAGAGTTCGTTCTTGTTATCTTTTGCTTTATTTACTTCTTTACTTTTATTAAGAAGTTTTTTTTTGGTTTTTCTTATCTTGTTGTTTCTTTTTCTTCTTTTTCATTAATTTTTTGGGTTCTGCTTTATTAAAATTTATAGTTTAATAGCATACAGTGCGGCGCGCATTATTATAATGAAATTTAAAAATAATTTTTATATAAAATTCAGTTAGGTATGGCCCGTCAGCCAAGACGGTCGGCATTTGAGCTGACGACGGAAAATTGTAAAATTCATTTTATAAATAAAATTTATAAAAAGGAAAATAACAGTTATTCAGAGTTGAATTTTTTTCAAAAAATTAATTCAATTTTTATTGAAAATAATAATTTTCGAAAAAAATTAAAAAATAATTTTAATATATTAAAAATATTATTATTTATAATATTATTTAATTGTAATCGTTGTAACGGTGATACAGTATTAAACATAAATAATAACAATATAACTATAAATCATAATCAACAGCAATTAAGATTCGGTGATCGTTTATTACCGTTAAAATCAAAACAACAAAATTCAATATTATCTAGTTCTAGTATTTACAATCAGTCTACATTGATTAGTTTTAATAATAATAATAATAATAATATTAATAGTGTAAATAATAATAATCAATTTTTAGAAAATAATCATATTAAATTAAATTACAGTGATTTATTAAATAATAATGATTATAGTGAATTGCAATTTAATAATTTCATAAATAGTACAACATCTGATACAAATCATAATAATAATAATAATCAATATATAAAAAATCAAAATTTTAAAAATAATTATATGCTATCGGCAACAAAAGATAATATAGATACTAAAAATTATATTATTGAATCTTTAATATACAATGGTAGTGATAATGTTGATATACCGGTTAATCAACGACAACATTCTCAGAAGCAAGGTATATTGCAATTACATGAGCCGCGTCAGTTAAATAATAATAATAATAATAATCAACAAGAACATCACCAATATAATAATTATTATCAAAATCAACAGAAACAAAAAGATCTATACACTGATGAATATATACAACAACAGGAGCATTTATTAATTCAAGAATTTAATAGTGGAATTGCTAATTACAATAATAATAAAAATGATAATAACAATAATAAGGAAAAATTTTCACAATATCATAAAATTGATAATGAATTAAATCAATCGAATGTTTCAAAAGCAGATCGTTTAATTGAAATGTCAACAGAATTTTTTATTATACCAACATCGAATCCATCATCTTTATCTGGATCATCATCATCTGGTACATTAGATCGTAATCATAGATCAAAATTACATTCACCATCTAGGACAGGACAACCAATAACTGCACGACCAGTATTAATTTTAGCATCTAGAACACCACCACCAAATAATTCATTTTCTGGTGGTAATTTAGCAACACCACCTACAATATATAGTACAGTTAATTTAACTGGTTTACGTAAAGAAGCATGGGTAATACCAGTTTTAGTTATGGCATCATTATCAATGACTATGATGGCTGCATTCGAAATTTTTGTATTATTTAAAGCATGGAGAACTTCACCATCAAGAAGACATTTGTTTTTAGGACAAATGCTCTTATTAGGATTATTTGCGTGCTCCGGTTTAGGTGCTATATTAACAGCAACACCATCAGTTATTTCTTGTGCAACAATTAGATTTGGTGTTGGTGTTGCATATGCATTAGTATTTGCAGCATTATTAGTTAAATGTGTATTTCTAATTAGTTTAAATGGTGGTGTTTATTTACCAGCACCATATCAAGGATTATTATTATTATTTGCTGTTCTAATACAAGTTGCAATTGGTGCACAATGGTTAGTAACACAACCACCAGAAATTCACAGTTTAAATGTACCATATGGTGCTCAATTAGGTGGAACAAATAAATTTTCAATGTTAATAGGTGCAACAGATATACAACATCGTTTACATGGTACATTAGTACCACTATGTAAAACACAATTTTCCGAATTATTATTATCATTAATTTATATATTTTTTTTAATTGTATTTGTTGCCGTACTTGCAATTAAATCACGTGGTATACGTGATAATTATCGTGAAGCAACATATATTGGTTTAGCAATCGGTGGCTCAATACCAATATGGTTAGGTTGGACATTATGCGGTTTAGCTGTAGCTGATCGTCATAAAGATGCATGTACTGCATTCGGTTTAATAGCAACATCAGCTACAGTATTTTTAGTTATGTTTATGCCAAAAGGAAGACAATTAGCAGCAATGGGAAAAGAAGGATTATATGTTGAAGATCGTGAAGAACAATTTAGTTCATTATCAAGAGCAGGTTCGGGATATTCACCATCATTTTTTCATTTTAAACCAATCAAATATGGTGTTATGGGTCCAATGCCAAATTCAACAACGAATACTGGCAATGGACATAATAGCAATAACAGTAATAATATTAATACAAATATAAATAACAATAACAGTAGTAGCTCAAAGCATTTACCAGGTGCTACACTAGCTGGTGGAGGTCAGTATTTATTATATACAGTAAAAAAAAAAAAACAAAAATCGAATACAATTAAATTATATAATTTCCTTTTCTATACTTAAGTAATATTAGTTACGCTTCTTATATTTTTAAATTTTAATTAAATTTTCCTTTTACTTTCCATTTTAAAATATTGATTCTCAATGTTAGTGAAAGAACATTCATTATATACTTAGACAATATACGAAAATATGTGTCTTGTAGCTTTCATTGAAAAAAAAAACTAAACAAATAATTTTAATTTTTTAAAACATAATTGATACATGCAATATTCAAAGCATTTTTTAATAATTTTCTTACCTTAACGTGTTACGATTTCTTTTTACTTTCTCTGCAATATTATAAAAGAAAAGAAAAATTAAAAATTTTAACATACATGGAACGTATAATAGAAAAAATTCAATAAACAGAAAAAACAAAAAAACTTACGAAATTTAATATTCTCGTAATTAATTTTTGCCAATTTTGATTTACAAATAAAAGCATTAAATTTAGCGAATGAATGAACACAACACTCAACAGCTTTATCCAAAAGAAACACAAAGAAAAAATTATAAAAAAAAAAATTAGTTCACTTTATTGTTATTTATGAAGATCGTAAAACGATAAACGAAATTGAATTTGTGCTTAATCGATCTTTATAATTGTATTAAATTCATTTTAATAAATATGGGTGCCATGAACTAATTCCAAATTAACATTTTTTTCTCTTAATTATTCAAAAAAATCGATTACATATTTATACACATTTGTCCTTGTAAACGAATAGAACTTTTGTATTGTAATTTGAGATTAATCACGTCAAAAATTTAAATTAAATTGACTCATAAAATTCTCTTTAAATCTCTTATAATAAATATCGTTTTTAAGTATGAAATTACAAGAAAACCTATACATGCAACAAATTCCTAATTAAACTGTGCAAATTATTCACAATTTCTTTGTCAATGAAAGTTTATAAAATATTAATAAATTTTTTTGTATGCACAATGCACTTCTTGTTTTGACAAAATATTTTAATTGACAATTTGATAAATGATAGACATAGGTTAACTTTAGCTTGTTTAATTAGTGGAGACCTTAAAGTACTATTATGCGTTTACTTTTTAACTTAGTATGTATCTAGATTTGCCATTAATTCAACCCCTTCTCTCATTTTTTCTTAATAATTAAAAAATACTTCTTAATTTACTCTAATTTTTAATTTGATCACCAAAAATATATATTTGATTTGAAATTAAAATTTTTTATTTGTAATATTTTGGCTCAAAATTTTGATTTATAACTTTTTTTTTTGAATTAAAATCTGTTATATTATACAAGAATTTAATAAGTAACCAAATTATTTAACACATTTACAGCGAAATTTAAACATTTTGAATTAGAATGTAAAGATTTTGTTTAACGAAAAAATGGGGCTATAATTTTTCAACTTAAAAAAATTCTAGGACATTAACACATCAAAATCTTATCAAATTTGTATGAAATCAGAAAAAGTCATGAGCCTGACTAAAACAGAATACTCATGATCCTCATTTATTTTTACTCATCATAATTTTGAGAAAAGAGAAGCACGATTTTTCATACTTCAAAATTACATCGTATTCAGCAATTTTCTTATTTTATTCGATGAGTAAAAAATTACATACAAAATAAGACTCTTACATTTCCTTAAATTTTCCATGGCCCGTCCTTTTTACGTAATGTCAAGCTTATAAATATTTATAATTAAAAATTTTTATTATTCCTCTATAACGTAATACGACATTTTTTCAAGGCACATCACAAAAACAAAAATTAATATCTATCTTTTATTTATATTTCGGTCTATCGTGATTATTATTGTGTATGTGTATATATATCTTTTATATGTGTATAACGTATATTATTAGTCTATATTATATTTGTTTAAAATTAATTTGATTTTTCAATTTGATTTCGATTTCAAATTCGGTCGGAACAATTAAATAAATTATTTACTTTACCTCTACTCATTCACTCTTGTCGTCCTTCCTTCTTCTTATTTGATTTTTATCCGGATACATACATTTTGTATATCTACAAGTTTTCATTTTTTTTTACAAAAATTTCTTAGATTTCAATAACTTTTATTTTCTTTATTATTATTTTTTTTATATATACGTACATTGTTTGTTGCTAGCTTTGCTTTTTTTTTTGGGTTACTGTCTTGCCGTATTTTTTCGACTGCCTTTGTTAATATTACGTAAGATATGAAAACCAATTAATTGTTTGTATCTGAAATGAAAAACAAAAAGAATAAAAATAATTTATTTAAGTAATATACTCGTATTTAATTCAGGTGCGCAGTTCCAAAACTATTATTGGAACCGTCGTATGCTTTTGTGTGTATTACAAAAACTGAAACAAACAAAAAATATGCTAAAAATAAAATGTGTAAATATATATTTTATAAAACTACATACATACACATAACATGTATATGATCCAATATTGTTCATTTCAGGTGCGTGATTGCTTTTAAAAGTTACGTTCAGTTTTAGTTTCCTAGTAAGAGCAAAAAACAATAAAATTTACAATCAACTCGATAGTGTAAAAATTATTCAACCAGAATTAAAAAAAAAATTAGACCCAATATTGAATTTTTTAAGCAATTTTTCTTTGTTCCTTGTTTTTGTTTTTTAACAAAAATATTATTTGGTCCAAGATTGTATATAAGTACGTTCTAATAGAAATTGCTTCAATTTAAGACAAAAATATCTTGGTAAACCAAATAAAAAAACTCACTTTCTTGTTTTTTTTTTTTTTTTGATAATTTTCTTTTTCTTTACTAAGAATCTAATATTCAAGTTTAACAAGATTTTTTTTCTGTTTTGCTTTATATTTATTGTTATAATGGAAAAATAAGAAGAAAAATTTTTTCATATGGATATTAAATTGCCTCAAGACTGGTAGTTCCAGTTAGTTAGCGCAAAAAGGATTTTAAAATTTTACTAATCATGTAACATGTTTAACATATATGGGCATTATGATAATTGTTGTGTGATACGAATTTGTTATAATTTTTGCTTTCTTCTTTTTCTTTTTATTTCCTAAGAATATTTTTATATATGCATAAATATTGTACGAACAATAATAGATAAATAATTTATACATGTTATACATACATATATAAAGAGTATATGAAAAATTCTATTGACCTATTGCCTTTAGATATTGTTATACACACTTAAGGCTACTTTGTATACGTATCTCATATAAAATATTTTAAGAAAATATTGGAGCATAGTATGTAGTTAAAAACATTGTTATTAAGAGTTTTGATTACTCATACACACATACATATTTGAATTTAAAAAAAAAAAAATTTAAAAATGGTAATTTAATACTGAATTTGATTCTTTGCTTTTCAAGTTATTATGTTTAACCACAATTTGTTGGTGATACAAATTTAGAATATTTTAAAGTATAGCAAAATTCTTGCATTATTTTTTGTTAACACTAATTTATTGTTATTATTATTTGACTTAATTGTTTTGTTCATCAAAATCAGACATACAAGTATATAAAATGGCACTTCAGGTTTATAAGCATGATAACTTGAAATTTTATATTTAACAAAAATTTGGTTGGAAAATTCGAAAATGATACTAGATGCTTATCCTTTTTAAATAAAATTCTTATAATAAGTAATTGTTTTAAATTCGTACTAACTTAAATTTAACGCTGAACACAGACATTTTTCATTTTATTCCCTTGAAAAATGTCTGTAAGGTTTTATCTGAAAATATTTATTTTTAATCGAAATATACCGAAAATGAGATCAGATAATACAACCCCTTTATTCTATAATAAAATTGGATAATACAATTCCTTAATATTATGCGTCAAAGGGTTAATTAAATATTTCTTTAAAAATTGAGTTTTACAAGTATTGTCGTATTCTATAATTAAATTGAAAGTACGAATTTATTTGAAGGTTTGATTAAGAATTTATTTACGAATAGAGTTTTACAAATATCGTTAGCTCTAGAGCAAATATATATTATGTATAATGAGGTTATTACTCTTTTATATGCTTTATTTCAGGCAAAAATATAGATTTAGAAAAATAATTTATATGGGACTTGAAAATTTTAACTGCAATTCGTTTTAATGCACTATAATGCACTATTTTTATTAATTTTGAATAAATATTCTCTCTCGCTGTAAAATTTTTTACTATAACTTTTAACAGACAGTTCTATTAAATTAAATTTTATAATTTATTTGAACTAAAATTTCGATGGTTTGTATTTGTGTACAAACAATTAAGTATTTCATTTGCAACCGTTCCTATAAATCATATTTTACTATAATATTTATAGGTAACCTAATTTCTGTTAATAATGCAGCTGTTATATAAAAGGATTAACGGTAATTGTGCTAAAAAGTTCCAATAAAAATTCCTTTGTTACAATAAAATGTAATTGCCATAGATAAACCCTTAGCATAAGTGTATAGATTTGACCCCTTTTCATATTAAATAATTAATTAATTATATGGTAATTAAGTTTTCTAATTATGAGATTAAATTCTTAACCTTTAAAATTTATTATTTCCCTTGTGTATTATTTAAATTTTATATTTTGAAGTCAAGAACATTTTGTTCTTAATTGTCAATTAAAAATTTTTTTTATTATCACAAAATTATTCATATAATTTTTATGAGCTTTTCATGTGATTTCTTTTAATAAAATTTAAAAATTAAAATAATTATTTTAAAAGCAGTTTAAAACCAAGTTTTATACAGTTCTTAGAGAACAAGTTCAATTTCATTTTCACAATTTCTTAATAAAAATAATAACAAAAGATACTTTTTTTCTTCCAGCCGAAACCTCCAATTGAATAGTAATTGGCTATTTTGATTCTTGAACAGGAATTCTATGCATTCATTATAAATTTTAATTTAATTAAACAAACATCCATATAATTTTTTTTATTTTATGAGAAAAAAAAAG